CTGTCTGTTGGGAGACAAGTGAGTGGTCTTGGGTAGGGTTCAATGTGCACTGTTGGACAAGATGCAACGACTTCTACTCGGGATCTGATTAAATCAGTCCTGAACCTATGGGGATAGTCCAGAGTATTTGAGTGGCTAGGAGTAAATGTTCAATTCATAGCAGGCAATTGAGGTAGCAGACTCATCATTGATTATTGTTTTCCTTCTCACTTGAGCCTTCTGCTTCCTAATGCTCATAATGTTCACTCACTCACTCGCTCACTTACGCACTTACGCTCGGCTTTGACCCTTGGGTAGGCTTAGTTGGGTTTACTAAGCCATAGGGACATGTTCTTTCATTACTTTCTTCATTTTCTCTCTGTACTCCCCCTCAACTGGAGTACTCGGTATGCTTTGTCATTGTTAGGCACCGGGAAGGATAACATAGAACACTCCCCCTAAAATGTTGCATCCTTTGAGATATTCCTTGCTTTGTCGGTGTAAGACACCAGGAGAAGAAAACTGAAACTCCCCCTCAGAATGTGCAAGGTTTGATTGCTCACAGCATGTCATACCCGCCATGTGTGTGGAGCAATCTGAACATGTACCACACATGACGGTTTCCCTGAGCTCATCATGTAGAATTTTAGCATATTGATGATCACATAATGTTGACGAGTCAGGGGAGGCTTCAGCAGTTGATTGTTGATTGTTGTAAGATGACCGTTGACGCGAGGTTGATTGAATTTATCTACGATTTTCAGACCTTTACATTGAAGTTTAGAAAAGCTTTGACCTCAGGGTTGACAATGAAAGAATTTGAACAGATTTGCCTAAGTTTTGACCTGGACATCGGTGATTTACAATGTTTGTCGGAAAACTAACGTTTTGAGCCTCAAGGACTGCGAGTGAGGGCGCGTGAGAAAGGGTTCTGGGGCGTAGCCCGAGAATTAATGTAGATCTTTTTGTTAGCTTTCCAACAAAAAAAAGTTTGCTCAAATCGGATCACCGAGTCAGAAGTTATGGCCAAAACAGTGCGGTGTCGTAGAAAATCTCTAATTTTGAGTTTTTGAGAAATTTCTTCGAAGTTGAGGTTCTCGATGATGAATGTCGAGAGCAAGTGGATTTTAAACAAAAATCTAAGGCAATACTTCGAAATCCTAATCTCGAGGTTTAAATCTCGAGATTACAATCTCGAGGTTGCCTCGAAGAATAATGGTGAAATCCACCTGCAAAACAAACCTCAGAATATCGAAATCTGCAGAATTTCAAAATGTTTGAACATCGAAAACTTTGGAGTTTCGAAAACCTCATAATCTCGAAAACTTGCTGTTTGAAAAACATCAGAACATCGAAAACTCCTGAAACATTTATAAGCAGGGAATCATTTAGAGATCATATAATGTAAAGCTTCGATGAACTGCAAAGGATGTCAAGATTCGAATTATGAGTTCCAAGAAACTGCAAACTTTGAAAGATTCAAAACATCGAGAAATTTTGAAAATCTCGAAATCTTCAGAATGTCGAGATCCAAAACATCGAGATCCCAAATGTCGAAATCCCAAAACTCGAAATTCCTAAACTCGAAATTCCAAAACTCGAGATGTCAAAACTCGAGATCTTGATTTCGAGATTCAAATCTCGAGATCTTGATTTCGAGATTCAAATCTCGAGATCTTGATTTCGAGATTCAAATCTCGAGATCTTGATTTCGAGATTCAAATCTCGAGATCAAGATGTCGAGATGCAAATCTCGAGATCAAGATGTCGAGATGCAAATCTCGAGATCAAGATGTCGAGATGCAAATCTCGAGATCAAGATGTCGAGATGCAAATCTCGAGATCAAGATGTCGAGATGCAAATCTCGAGATCTCAAAAGTCGAGAAGAGGAAATCGAGTCCCTAAATGTCGAGATCCTGCAAAACGAAAACATTGATTTTTGAAAAACTGAAACCTGTTCTGAATAGCCCTGAAAGTCGAGATTCTCCTGTATCAGTTTCAAGCCAAAAACGTTTCTGCAGCAGTGAAAAATAAGGATTTCGAGATCTCAAAGTAGAGATCTTCCAAATATAAAAATTGCAGAAAACAAAAAAAGAGGTATGCTGCTGGATCGGTTTTGAAAGGCGAGTCCAACAGTATGATTTTTACAAAATTTCGTACACAAACGAGATTACAGGAGCAAATCTCTACATATAGAAAAACAGAAGAAAAAACAAAGCAGTTCTTCGTTATATCCAAAAATCGCAGACAGATCCAACCTGTTTCACGCCTCGGCTCTGATACCAAATGTTAATTCCAGAATACTAACAATCATACAATCATAAGCAGTAATATAGAAACAGATAGAAAGAAATCGAGAAGATTAAACCCAAATCTGGTATACCGTATGAACTGTCCGCTGCTCTCCCTGGAGAAGGAGAGCAGCGGCAACCCTAATCTCTCTATCTTTATGCCTCTGCGTCTCTAAGCCTCTGTCGATCAGATAGGGTTCCCGTAAGTTAGCCTCCTTTTATAGGAGAAGTTGGCTAACTTACGGGTTACAAGGAAGCCCACGGGCTGATATACATTTGTGGCCCGTATTACACGTTTAATTGATAACTACACAAATACAAAGATAACTAACTAGATTGAACACCATAAGATATTCCCAACAGGAAGAGGTGGAAGGGGAGGAAGAGATGGAAGAACTGGATCGAAGAGGGGTGGAAATGAAGATGAAGTATAATAAATGCTTTCAAATGTACTGCTTTATATTTTGACCCAAAATGTTGGTTAAACTCTTAGTAGACAGCTTATGTATTTAGGGATGTATGGGTGTATCTATTTTGTCTTTCACGTGTATTTTGCTTGTGAAATTACTTATGTGTTGGGATATTAATGTGGTTGTTGACTTGATTAATTTCAGATGTTTTGCAGTAGTGTTGTTTGTACATATGCATGTGGGGTCTCGCATGTGGGGTCGGGCCTAGGCCCGATCGGGCCGCCGGTTCAAGAAAAGTGGGCCCGGGACCGGCCCGAGGGTTGGACGGGTCCGGTTCGGGCCGGGCCACCCGACCGGGTCACGGGTCAGGTCCGGTTCGTGCCGGTCCGGTTAATTTTTTTTTTATAATTTATATTTTATAGTTTATAGTTTTATACGAGTATTAAAAACAAACTTCAATTGCATTTATTTGAAATGAAATAGGAACTACATTTGAAAATTAAAACAAACTTTAAGAGATAAACATTTTGAAAATTGTAATCAATCGGAACTTCCTGCACCTCCCGATCCTTTGGCTTTGTCACATGACTTCATATGCTTGATTGCCATCCCGAATCCGCCTGAAGCCCCCATGATACATTTTTTTCGCACCATTTGCAAATTGCGTGCCACATCCCGGTCTTCGGGTCCTTCTGCTTATCAAAATTATACCGTATAATGGCATTTTGATTTTCCATCTTAACTTCTTGGAGAAGAGAATTAGAGAGTAGATATATAATATATTGGAGAATAAGAGAATTAGAGAGTAGAGAGTTAAGAATAGGATTTAGGAAGAATTGGAGAAGAGATATGAAAAAATGTTTAAGATTAGGAGTATTTATAGGTTTTTTTACCCACCACCCCCCCCCCCCCACCACCCAACCCCCCGGACCCCCCCCCCCTTTACCCCACCCAACGGCTATATAGCCGTTTGGGTTGTCCCCAGCCCCACCCCCAACGGCTAGTAGGAGTCCAACCCATAAAATTTTTTTTGAAAAAAAAAATTGGACCGGACCCGGGCCGGGTCACAATAATGCTGAACCGAGCCCGCCCCGCCCCTTCCCCCCGGTTCGGGCCCATACCCGGTCCCGGACCGCCCGACCGGGCCGGTCCCGGGCCCGCACAGTACCGGGCCGGGCCGGGTCACGGGCCGGGTGGCCCGAACCGAATCCATCCCTAGTTGAAACCGAGTAGATTATGGTGGGGTTTACTTTGTTCGTTGTTGCAGCTTATGTCTTAGTCACATGAGGAGTGTTTCAATCACATGGGTTATGCTTTATTGGTAGTGAATTTTGGGTGCATTATTGGAATCCTATTCATTGCCATTTTTGGAAAATATTACCTCCGTCCCAAATCGATTTGCAAATTTGACTTTTCTTGGTCAAACAGTTTTATTAGGATGTAACTTAATTAGGATGTAAATTTTTAATTATATTCTAATTTGGAGTTTACAACTTTAAAGAGATTTTAATGTAGTTTCTGAATATATAAATTTTAATTATAAAAATTTGAATTAATTAGCTATAGCGAGCATTGACTATTTTTATTGGTTGACCAAAATATGTTGACTTTGCAAAACAATTTGAGACGGATGGAGTACATGTTAGGAGCATAGGATAATGGCTTAAAAGTGAGTACAATGCTATTTGCATACTACTCCCTCCAGTCCCAAAAGAACTTCATTGGTTGACTTTATGGTTTTTAAGAAAGTAGAATTTTTTATTTTGATTTTCTCATTATGCCCCCAAAAATTAGATAAAGTGCAATGGAAGAGACAAATTGAGTGTAAAGTAGGTAATAAAGTAAGAGTATAAAGTTAACTTTATATTTAAAAATTGCCAAAAATAGAAGTGTGAAGATTATTTTGAACCTACTCAAAAAGGAAGGTATGAAGTTTACTTGAAAAAGGAAGGTATGAAGTTTACTTGAAACCGGAGTGAGTATATTTAAAAGTTGGCATTTATAAACAACATGCCTTATAAATCCAACCTGGTTTGAGCACTCGGTGTTTTCCCTACTGTTGTACAAAGGTTATCCCAACAAAATTCAAAACATGGATATGAGATACATTATCATAATAGGCAATGTAACCTTATAAATGCAACCTGGTTTGAGGACTCGGTTTTCCCTACTGTTGTACAAAGGTTATCCCAACAAAATTCAAAACATGGATTTGAGATACATTGTCATAATAGGCAATGTAACCTTATAAATGCAACCTGGTTTGAGGACTCGGTTTTCCCTACTGTTGTACAAAGGTTATCCCAACAAAATTCAAAACATGGATATGAGATACATTGTCATAATAGGCAACAAACTTTACCATGGATATGAGGTAAATTCAATGTAATCAACAATACCATTAGTAGCAAGTTGCAATCAAACAACACTACATTTACCATGGATATGGGGTAAATTACTAGTGTTACATTCAACACAATAGTACATTACTACTCTGAACTTTTACATTTTCTTCACAATAAAAGCTGTTGCAACAAAAATGACAACTACTTGCTACATTTTCTTCCAAAATTGCTTCTCTTTAGCTTCATTTTCACCACGTCTTTTGAGGGTTTCTATATCACATTACATAGCTAAAATCAACATCTTCAGCTCATCAATCGCGGACTCTTTCGATCTAGCTAAAATCAACCTCTCAAGCACAATAATATGACAAACACAAAGTTGTTTGTCATTGTCTTCATGGTGGCATGGGACATCTTCTTTCCACACAAAATACCCGCATCCCAATCCATACTAAAATCAAAGAATTTTGTATTAACCCTCCTGTTACAATCAAAAACCAGTTTTACGAATTCTTACCTTCCATCTTTAGCATTCATAAAACTTCTAGCCACTTTTCTTCCCAGTGAAGATGAAGATGAAGATGAAGCAGACATCTCTTTCTCTTTGTTACGACTTCGTTGGTCTCCAAAGGACATAATGAGTCAGCTTAAAATGAAATGTATAACCTGCTGACTAAGTGTGTAAAGGAAGAAAACAGGAGCTTATCAGCTACGAGAAGGGATTGAACTGGTAGCCTGAATCAGACCTTTTTTAGGTTTGGGGTGCGAATTGAGCAATTCGTATAGGTCCAGGGGCCTATTTGGCCTTTTAATCTAACTTTTATATTCAGAGGGCTTATCTTTACCAGGCTTATCTATATTCACAAAATTTAAGAACAATTTGTAATCATACAACAAAGTCACATGTGGAAAATTCAAGATAAACACTAGTTTTGTGATAGAATCAGGATTTTTAACTTACTTAACTAGCTATTTACAAAAAAAAAACATAACTCTCTATTTAATACGGAGTATCATTTTCTTACACTCTTGCTTTTGTAAAGACATTTACAGAATATCTTTGTTAATCTAATCAACCACTCTCATTGACTAAATTTTGCCAACATTACAGATCATCTTGGACATTTACTACAATTTGCAGAAAACTGGCCAGAAATGTGTGTCTGTAAATAAATACATACGCACTTCAAATTCTATTGTTCACCAATTCAAAATTGTGCAACACAATTGGTATCATTAAGAAAAGTGATCAAGTACAAAGGTTCCAAGACATGCCTAAAACAAACATACCTCAATGGATTGTTAAGTGGAAAAACACCTCTCTAGCAGTCTGTAAAACCTCATATAAGGACACATATCCTCTACATTGACTCTCATGGAAGCAGTGTTTGCCTCCCATTTCGTTAAATGAGTATACTAGGTCTAACAAAACATGCCTACTTTACAATTGAGCCTGCTCCTGCGAATTATTCATGGAACTATTGTTAATTTCCTCGGACGTTCTTTTCCCATTAACTTTTTCATTATCATTAACGGCCCGAGAGACTAGTTCCTCATCACTCTCACCCCATACGCTTGCTGCTCTAACTAATGTCTTTCTTCCACTTTCTAAACGGAATCTCACTGCATCTCTCCTTTCCAAGACAACATTTTTCTCACCATCCACATGATGACATGACCTGCTCTGAACTGCTTCAATGGCGCCATCTAATTCAGACTCATGTAATCTTGTAATTGGATGATCTGATTGCGGAATCACTAAGGTGTCATCTAAAAATTTAGCTGGAAGAGCAACTTGGGAGACCTTTTTCTCCCCATATTGCAGTGGTGGTGCAAGAAATGGGTTGCGATCAGCTACTATTTTTTCCTCAGAAGCAGCATCTTCACGTCCATTAACACCCAACTGCTGGTGAAAATTTGGAAGAGGTCTTTTTTCAATTCTCAGATCATCAACCTGCCCAACCTTAACAATCCCATTATCTACTTCTCTATTTTCAACCAAATCCAAACTCTTGGGATCTGGAAATGCCTGTAACCAAGCAGGTACATGTTCAGGTGGGGCTTCTCCAGTTTGCACATAAGTAGGACTAAGTTTGCATTCTTTAACTACTGGGAACCTAGGGACAGAACAGGCAAAAGGGATTTCTTCAGCTTCATCTACAAACCGAATGATGTCTTTGATTGCTCCTGAATTTAAAGCACAATGATTAACATCGGAAGCACCAGTATACCCCTGGGCATAGCCCAAATCTTCCAATCCTTCAATCACATCAAACAAATTACACTGACTTCTACCTGCTGAATTTGCACACAAATTGGCACATTTCCCTACATCTTGTATGTACCTGACAGCAACATCTGAGAGAGTATCCAAAGCAGACTGGTGGGTGTTCTGAAACCCTACACCCTCGCATATCTGTGAAACTGCAATTCTAGCAATTGCCTGGGCAAATTCGTCTTTGACTGCAACCTTCGCCCTCTTTGACGTCCCGCAGCTGTTTTGAACTCCTCTTACATTCTCCCTACCTCCATCGCTCATATTCAACGTCTCATATCACTGCAATCGAACTACATCTCCCAAAAGACCGCCATTCAACCGCAAGATTTGCACATTTCAGCATGAAAATCCAACGACTGAGAATCAAGAATAGCCCAATGTCTCAGCAGCACTTTCACATTGACTGAGCTGAACAAAATCAAATCTTGGAATAGGAACAATATAAGATTTCGAGAACTCACCAGTAAAATGAATTGCTATTTAGGGTTTCTTGCAACTGATGCCGAACCCAGCATCTAAAATCAAATCAAGAAGCTGAATGATAACCCCTAACCCCGATGCCAGTACAAACGAGGAGTGATGATGGCTTTATATTAAAAGAATTATTTACAAAGACCCTTTCTTACGAAGAAAGAAGTGAGTTACAGAGTAGATCGACCAGGAGCGCACGAAGTTGTGGTATGGGGTGTATTTATACACAGACAAGCGAGGCGTTGTCGAGGGTATATTCGTCACTTCATATGCAAGGTAGACTTTGCTCGCGGTTTTGAATTAAATCTGAAACGTTGGTTCGATTTTGGATTTTTGGTTTAGGATGTTTGTAATTCGATTGAAACTTTGTACCCGGTTCTGATTTGACCGTTTAAGTTTGATTTCATAACAACCGATTCCGTTTACTCTAGTTTTATCAAGTTTGACCGGTACATGAATTAATAAAGTAAAAATTGTGTGATTTAGTTTTGTACAGAGCAGAGATAATTAAATGAAAACACAAATTCTTTACTTAAACAGAAAAGTAACAAAGTTAATGAGACATCCAAAAAAAGAAAGTTGACAAAGTTTCAAACGACGGAGAGTATATGTTTGGTTTTTGTATATTTTACGTAGTATAACAGTTGAACTTTGGTTTTGTCTACTCTATATTCCTTAAATATGATCTGGTTTATTTAAATCTTATCTGGTCTAATATGATATAGAGAACGAAACTAAACCAAGTAAAAGTATCGTATTAGTCCAAATTAGGGGTGGTTCAGTACGGTATACTGAATATTTTCTTTCATATCTTTGCTGTACCAAAACTTTCGGTATACAAAATTTATATACCGTTACCTTACCGAAGTGTCGGTATACCGCATTCCGGTATACCGAAGTTTCGGTTCGGTAACGGTACGGTATCGGTAAATTACCATGCATGTCTCTCAATACAACAAATTATCATAGACTAATGAAATATACTAAATCGTTGTGACTAGCGACATATTTAATCTATTATTAACATGTTACAAAATACAATTAATAATCTATTGATGGTCAATTAGACAAAAAAATCTGTTGATGTCAATTTAATATTGAACAATAATTATTATTAGTAAATTTAAGTAGTTTAATCTTCCAAAAAAAGTAGTTCAACATGTTACACATTAAAAAATAACACATTCTCCTAAAATAACTTGAACAATATAGATATAATTAAATCAATAGTGATCTCTAACAAAAATAAATAAAACTATTCAAACAATATGAATATGAAATCATTGATTCCTAATATGATATTGTGTATTTACTCATTTTTATAATTTACAAAATATTTGAATAAGACTTTCAGATAAAGTTGTGTGTCTTAACTCTCAGAATCCTTATGTAGATGCACTCGTCACATATGTTATCCCTCTTCACTCGTCAACTACTCAGCGTTTTAGCCATCTCTACTCACAAACTCTTGAATTGGAACAAGATGAACTTGTTTCTGAACATTAATACATTACTCATTAGTCATTAAGGTTAGTTTGAATGTTACATTGTAGAAGCCTAGAAGGTTATAGTGGATTTGGGAAATTGGGTCTTTATTTTTGTATTTTGGTATTTGTAACCAACCTAAGTATTAATTTGGGCTTTAAAATTGTAATAGATTTTTTTACAATATTTTAGAATTAAAAGTAATTGTTGGGTAGAGAGTAGGTACGGTATTATACCGGTATACCGCGGTATTTGAAACATTTACCGTTACCGTACCGAAATAAATCGGTACGGTATGATACCGTACCGAAAATGATGGTATACAAATAATCCGGTATTTTCCGGTATTTTTCGGTACGGTAAGTGCGGTATACCAATTTTTCGGTATTTTTGCCCACCCCTAGTCCAAATATGGAACTTCGTACATGTTGTCTTAGTCCAAAGGCTTATTACCCCGCATGTTAATGTTATTTCCCTTCATCAGTTTTTAAGGGACGGATGTAGTAGTTTTTTTTGTTCATCACCGATGATAGCAATATCCATTTGACACTGAAACAACCCCAACTAATAGGTTTCCTCTAATTCTTTGTAATGTTTTTTCAAGAAAATATTAAATTGTATTTGTATAATATTTTTAATACATATTTTAAAAATGTGAATAATAAATTTTACATTGTTCTAACTTGGGAGATTTCCCAAAATGGGAGTAAATGAAGTTTGAAATTCCAAAATAGGACTACTTTATTTTTATTCCCGAAATGGGACTAACATGGTAGTATTTACTGTCATCTTGTAGTCGTGACTGCCAAATAGTTGCAGTACAGTGCATTTAACATGACAGTGTTTATTATAATTAATGACAATATTTTTCAATCATGATAGTATTTTTCATAAATGACAGTAATAACTCCTATTTCGGGAAGAAAAACATACTAGTCCTATTTTTGAAATTCCAAATGTCATTTGCTCCTATTTTGGGTAATTTCCCTTCTAACTTTCATATTAGCCTCAAAAAAATTATAAAAGGATAAATTTAAAAGTTTTTAGTTGATTTATGACGTGCAATCGATAATCTTTTTTAAGGAGAAAATGGTCAAGTAAGGGTTTCTACTATTTTGAAACCATCACATAAGGTCATGCACTCAATAAAGTGTCATATAGATACGTCTAATTTTAAAAAGCAATCGGATGAGTCCTAACAACCTTTTGACAACCTCGCAATCCCAGTTTTAGCGTACATCCGACTATCTTTTTAAAATAGATATAAGTCTGACGTGGAATATTTAGCCAAGATTGGCTTAAATACAGGGCAAAAATAACGGAACGAAATCTAAAATCGGGGTTATGAGGCTATCAATGGGTCGCTAGGACTCATCTGATTGCTTTTTATAAGTAGGCGCATTTGTATGACATTTTATCGAGTACATGACCTTATGTGACGATTCTGTAATAGTAGAAAGTCTTATTTGATCATTTTTCCTTTTTTAAGTATAGTGGTTTCAGAGTTAGAGATAAATGACTAAAAATAAAATAGTGCATATTACAAGAATGAAAAACAAAAAAAAAATACAGAGACCTAAAACAAAGTGTGTCATATTTGTAGGAACTAAAAACGCATTTAAACCTTTAATTTTTTGTTGATGGAGAAACGTTTGTTGAGTTCTGTTTTGTTTTTTGAAACAAAATAATGTATTTATTCATCAGAATCATAATAATAGCATATCAACAAGTGAATGAATAGTCTAAAACTACAATGGAATAAAGTATAGAAGGGGAAAGAGATGTCACAAATCCTCCACATTGCTAATCCCACAATCATGTAATCCAGTATAACAGTCTTGCTTAATTTGCCTACTCCAAAGAAAATATAAAAACTACAAATAAAAGATTTGATTTCACCAAACACCAGAAAGGAAACAATGACTTGAGAACCAATGTAACTAACAAAGGAAACTCTATCAAACTAAAAATGTCTCAATTGCCCGTTTGACGAGTCATTGAAAAGGAGATTCAGTTGAATTCTATTTCTCTCATAGTATGGCGTTGGTTCATTAGCAGTAGGGATAACTGAAGTATCAAAGTCATCAATATCGGGAGTCAACACCCTAAAAAAACTACATAAAACAAATCTTGTCAACAACAAGTATAGTAACAAATTAAAATTCATCACCCGATCGATCACCAATGAAAAGTATGAATTGTGATGTGCCCAGTAAAAACCAAATTCATATAAAGGTATTTTTGTCCAATAAAAAAGTAAATCATATTTATGAAATTTTAAATCTTAGATCATATATTTTGAAAAATGAACATATTTTAGTCAAGTTCTCTTTTTTTTATTGCTTGTGCTTACATAATATTTGAGAACAAAATGTTATCTGTGATGTGCTTAGTCACTTAACAGAACAGATTTGATCATATATTTTTCTATTGTTTGTGCTTTAGTTATACTACCCCGTCCCTTAAAACTTTTTCATCTTTTTTTTTGGAAGATGACAAAGTTTTAAGGGACGGGAGGAGTATTTGAGAAAATAATGCTACCGTTCACCTCTATTTTCATGTATCCAAGATAATAACAATTAAGTTTGTTAGGGGTTATGGCGTAATTTGTATTCTCATATTTATTTAAACTATATAATCATTTAACATTGGATAAAAATGAGACTTATATGACTTTTATACCTCTTCCCTAATTACAGTTATCCAGTCTGAGTATTTACTTTCACCTGCCCTAATCAGTTACAATTACCCTATCCGGTCAGTTACAATTACTTGATTCAACAATTACAGTTACCTGACTAGATCAATTACAGTTAACCATTAGTTAACCATTTACAGTTACCCTATAAGATGGTGACCACCTCCAGGCGCCACCTCCGACCAATACTGTCGACCACCGCCCAGTCAGTGACCACCCCCGCCCATGCCCCTTTACGGCGGCCAGCATCCCAACCCAACCTAGCTTTCCCCAACCCTTTTCCCCTCTCCAGCGGTCCAACCCCCTACCACCGCCTATCTCTCAACTCCCCTACCTAGTCCCCTCTCCAGCGATCCAAACCCATCCCTGACCCTAGCTCTCTCTCCAACATCCCCAATCACAGCACCCCCACCCTACAGCCATAAGTGTCACCCAAATTGAAATCATAGTTGGGATTCCAGCATCGGGGCGGCGCACGAACAAAGAAAGAAGAAGATAGGGGCAGCCGTTGCGAAATACCTAGGGAAAGGGAATGGAATGGGGACAACATTAACGGGGCATGTGGCGACGTACGATAGAGGACGGTGGTGTACATTAAGCGGCAATTGCTAACATCTGGTGAGCCACAAGGGAGGCGGCGCGAGAAGGGCGTCGACCATAGGTGAGTGAATGGGAGCGGAGAGGAGAAATGAGATTTAGGATTACACAATAATTTTATATTAATTGATGTGACAAAGTCGAATGATTGATTAGTATTTCATGTTTTAATTTTACCTTCAATTCTCAATTAAAACTTGTAAACTTGTAGTTCATATTTCAAATAAATATACGTTCATTTTTTTATATCTAGCATTTTTTATTGAATTCATATACATTATGTAATTTATTCAAAATAAAACATACAAAAAAAAAATTGAAATCAAAATTCAAAAGCCCCAAACGGCTCTATTGAAAATTTTGAATCAGTAGAGGCATAGAGCTGTTGGGGGTGGGGTGAGTGGGGGTGGGGG